ATTTCTGTGGGTTAATACCATGGACACAAGCTGAGAAAGCATCAAATTAGTAGTAACATAGCCAAGAATCGGGTTTATTTTAGCCAATCTAACTGAAAAATTGAAGTTTACATTAAACTTCTTTTGAGTTTCACCAAATCTAAGTTCTATAGATATCTGCCACCATCCTCCAAATAGCATAGTACAGGGGCAGTTTTCAAACAAAAGCTTGAAATCAGGCTGAATGAACTTAATTCTACTATCTAGTTAGCTGATAAAAAATAAAAAATACTAAAATAAACCAATTAAATCATGGTATGCTATTTAATCTCTTTCAGATGCATTCCCAATTAAATCAGGCTGAATGAACTTAATTCTACTATCTAGTTAGCTGATAAAAAATAAAAATACTAAAATAAACCAATTAAATCATGGTATGCTATTTAATTCTGCATCAAAGTCTAGGAAATAAATATCCAAACTCACCCTGGTTCCTTGAGTCCTTGAGACCAGGGTTTTCCCAATGTTCCTCGTATTGAACACTGATGGAGCCTTGATATCATACCAATCCTTCTTCGCAAAAGGATCAACACTGCCAACAAATCATTCAGAATAAATACAAAGGATAAAAAAAATTCACCTTTCGCAAAATCAAATCTCAGAATTATCCAAGACAAATTTCAGATATAACATGAAAAGACTTACGCTTTCTTCTTCCCTCCCTTCTTACCCTTAGAAATCCTCTTGTTCTTACTGTAAACAACAGACGCAAATGTGAGAGACCAGAGAAAACAGCAGAGGAATGATAAGAGCGATGAGATCCTTACCCAACCGCCATGTTTACTGCCTCTCCTGCTGCTGTTTCCTCTCAAAGGCTAGGGTCTGAGCGTGGCGGAGGCGAGCGCGAGAGTAGAAACCACAAAAGCAATAAATAATTTCGGCCAGGTTAGATCAAATTTCGTGAAGAAAAACAAGCTCACCTTAACAAAAAATTTAACCTAACAGCAGAAATTTTAACCTAACAACAAATCAACCTTTCAGCAGTGAATTTAACCTAACAGGCGGGCATTTTAGGAAAGGTATCATCTTTTTCTTCAAAAATAAAATAAAAATAATAACACCAAGATGTAATTTTTACCTGATGGCCGGAAAACCGCTGGTGGTATTCTTGCGAGCGAGTGGTTTTCCGATGGAGAGGATGGGATCAAGATTTGGGAGTGAAGGAAGATACCCTCCCGCGAAGCTGTTACGACGGGAAGGGAGATCCAGGAGAAGGGGAGGGCTTCGTTCGCGTTCAAGAGAATATTTATATGTGATTTGTGATATTGGGATGGCGGCGCTTCAGTTTAGGGTTTTGTTGAATGTATAAGCAACTCAATCACAGCCGTTCGATTTTTTTAAAAGCAATCCAAGCCATTGACAAAATAACCTAGGATATAAAACGTTATGTAACTTGCGTTATGGATAAAAACCCTAGGATCTCGATGCGCCGTTATTATTATATATATATAAGGTTCAGGTGATCTTTTCAGGGTTTTCTTTATAATCTACTGATCTAACGGTGGGTTTTGGCAGAGAGAAAGATCGTGCGACTTTTATTGCCCGTCCGTCCAATTATGGGTGCTAGTCACCGAGTGATGGCCTCTGGCTACGTTTTGGGCCCAATTGTATATGTAAAAGCCTGTTTTTTGGCAATTTCAAAACCGGCCTGGGTTGGACTAGATTTTGCTTACGGTTTTTTTCCCCATAGAAGCCGTCGTTTTAAAATGGTGTCCTTGTGACGCCTTATGATTTTTAATTTACTAGTTAAGATGCACGTGCAATACACGTGGTTGAATATCATGATTATTTAAATTGATAAAAATAGAGTAAAAAATAAAAAAGAAAAACGAAGTTTTTTTTTGTGGGATTGATCATCAGCTCAATAATCTCTCTCTCAAATGAAATGTTGTCATTGTTTCCTTCAACCCAGACTGTGGCCACGTAATCTACTATTTATGACTTACAAACACATTAATCTAGCACAACATCTCTATTTCTTAGTATCTTAAAGTCTTCAAAAGATGGGTGATCATTCACTTCGCAAAGAAATTTTGCATATGAATTTATTTACAATATGTCCATTAAACTTTTAGTTATGGTTTGACTCATATTCACATTAACTTTTATTTGTGGTTTCACTCATATTTATATTATCTAATTTCTCATTCAATTTAATAGCTCATTCTCTGTGTCATAAAACTAAAACTGGATGTATGAAGAATTATTTTCTTGCAAACTGAGAACAGACAGAATATGATATATTTCACCATGTATTGTATATAGGACATATAACTCATCAAAAATTTCCACATCTGCTAAGTGGATTTTGTTGTTGTGAGAACAAAATGTTAGAGACTCGTATTCAAACTTTTTGTCTCTATAAAAGACACAAGAATTTGGAGTGCATAGCTCATATATCATAAAGAACACACTGTTTCATAAAGAATTTTCCCTAACGATACTATTACAACGATATTACTATTCAGTATTAAATCAATTTTATTATATAAGATAAATGATCCTTTTTAATAAATTATAAAGTATATATATATATGGAAACATCGATGCTTATAACCAGTAGTTGGGTTAAACAAAAAAGGTTTAACTTTTATATTCTTGTTTGCTATTGGTAGTATTGTTGGCAATGCTATTACCTTTCTCTTTATCTTATTATTCATTCTTTTCTGATGTAAGTTCTCATTTGCTAATCATTCAATTGACTATATTTAGTTTTTATAATATCGGAGGTTAGAATACTCTCTTCTATTTAAAAAGTGTTGACTTAATTTTCTTAAAAAATATATACACATAGTAGCAATGGTATATACTTCAGTGCACCTCAAACATTGACTTGAAGCCATTTAGAGTGAGGCACTTTCTATGTTAGAATGTTGATATAGTGATTACACAGTCTAAAAGTCAAAGAAGAAATTTCTACAAAGGAAAAATAATTTAATATGTCAAATTAAGAACTAATTTATAAAATATACATGGGTAGTGCAGATAGCTATAGAAAGTAAGGTATATATTTTCATAAAAATTTTATAGTGAGTGACCAACTACAATCCTCCTAATTAAAACATAAATAATTATTATTTAATTACTAATTTGACACGCGTAACTATGGAATAAATCTCTAGTAAAAAATAGGAATTGAGATTGTATTATGTTGTAGGTAAATAAATAAATGTTATTAGAGCTCCTCTCTATATTAAATTCAAAGTAATATTTTAAATTATTAACCACCAAATATTAGTTCATGTGAGAAAGTAAAGTAATCTATAGTCTATATACGTATATAGACAACCAATCAAACGAATTAAATTTATGATGACCATAGTCAAAATTATATGGTGGGTTCACATTAAATATAATTTGAAAAAAATTTTTTACAGATTATAAATTGTTTATAAACTATTTATAATTCCTATGCTTTTAATTTACTAATGAATTTGAAATTTTCAGGGTGTTTTTAATAAAATTTGAATTTTAAATATTTGCTTGTAATTTTGAAACTTTATAGGAGTTCTTTTATAAATTATAATTATGTAGGTGTTAATGTCGAATATCACACAACCAATTGGAATCACAGGATTTGTAAAAAGAGGAGGGGCCACTTTCTTCATCAACTTTATACCTTGCTCTACTGTTAGGGTGAATGGGCAATCTGCACACAAAAAAGGTCGTAAGAGGATGGGGCTGAGTTCCCCCGTGATACCTCCGACGATTAAGTCAGTTGATGAACTTGAGTAGAGTTAAAGAAGAACTATGTGTTCTTGCGCAGTGTGTACCTTTAGGGGTTTTAGTTTTCGAACCTTTTTCTAGCTCGAATAGTACATGTATTTATAGAGGATGTCAAGGGTAGATTGGTCACTTCATGAGTGCACAGTAAGACGGTGGTGAGGGGTGAGCTGGAAGTTGGGTCATCTCTTGCCCGACATGTGTCGGCTGGCGACAGGAGGAAGATCAAATAGCGGTGACAAAGTATGAGCTAGAAGG